TATCAGTTTCACGCCCAGATGCAGAGGCAACAGCCCTCCATAGACTTCTTCATCAGCTTCCCTTTGTGATCCCTGGTTAATGACTTTTCTCCGACCCTCCAATTGTCCTCTTCTACACATTTACTTCCCTAGGGTCTCCCATGATTTGTGGGATCTGGTCACTATAAGCAAATGTAATTCCATATTATTTATAGTGATTCCAATTCCTGATTGAACCCTGCTGATATTCTGCCAAAGGAGCAAGTTTGGGTAGGAGATAAGGAACTCAGTTTGGACATGTTAAATTGAAAATTCCCATTCACCAGTCAGGCGGGGATTTTGAATAGGAAGCTTGAGATTATGAGTCTGTAGTTCAGGGGAGAGGTCCAGGCTGGAGCTATACATTTGGAAACCATTAGGGTGTAGATGGTATCAAAAGCCATAAGACCAGATCAGGTCATCAAATGACTGAGTGTAAATAGAGAAAAATTGTCTAAAGACCAAGTCCAGGGATGCTGTGACATTAAGAAAATAAAGGGCAGATAACACACCCTGAAAGAACAAACACTAAACGAAGACCAAAGATAAATTATTGAAATGAGCAAAGGTTCTTAACTGTTGAGTAAATCTAGAAAATTTGGAACCGGTTATTGACATTTACTAGGCAGACGAACAAAAATATCTTTGCTAGTTTATCTTTTTAAAGATAACTTCTAAAGATTTAATGATGCTTTTGTTTGCATCTATCCCACTGGCCACGGGCTGTCTTTATTAATCTGGTCCAATGGCAGATTTAGAGCATTAGCAAAGTAATTCAGGGCCAACTATAACAGCCTTTGCAGTAAAAACAAAAATAACATTTTAAAAATCACATCTATCATTTGAACTATCCTAGAACTTGAGGTGTAAAGTGTTTTGTGGTTTAGAGATTGCTGCTTTATTTCTCCAGACTTGGTTTTGTGATACCACAGGGTGGTGGTTCTTAACCAGGGATGATTTTGTCCCCCAGAGAACATTCGACAATGTATGGAGACATTTTTTATTGTCATAAATGGGAGGGGGCTGCTACTGGCATATAGTGGGTAGAGGTCATGGATGCTATTAAAAATCCTATAATGCACAGGACAGCCCCCATGACAAATGGGAATAATACAGAGAGGGAGAAACCCTGTCTTAGGGTCTGGCTACTTAGAGAGCAGAATGAAAGTCTTAACAGAACAAAATCCAATTTCATTTACTTTTCAGTAAAACGGTTAAAGGATGGGCAAGTGGAAGAAAGGGAAGGGGGATAGAGTTTGAGAAAAGAAAAAGAGGGAAAAAGAGGAAGGAGGAAGATTAATATGCTGTGCAGCACTTATGGGTTGTGAGACGCTCTTAAATCCAATAAACAACTCTTAGCAGATATGGAAGCACTGAATGATGTAACAGGCTATGGAAAGTGATCTTCACTCAATCTCAGAGCTACAATGTTACCTAAGGTTTGCTTTACTATAGCTGGGGCCTGATCACAGGAGAAATACAAAGTGTCAGAGCAAGTGATGGAGGGTTAACCAGGAGGCAACAGTATCTTCAGCTTCTGCAGTCTTTGGGCCCTGTATTTTCACATTCTCTGCTGGTCCCTCTAATTAACGGCAGCAGGGAGGAGGTGGCAAAGATCTAGACCTCAATGGGTATAGAACAAAGTAGTTCGCTAATTGTAAATTAGGACAATTATCTCACAATTAATTGAATTTTCTTATTCCTCTAGAAAATCTTAGCATGGCCATGAGTTTTTCTCAGCTTGTGCTATTCTCTGCTGTGCTGCTATAGGGGAGGGCTGCAGTTGAAGTTCTTATAATCAACCAGTGTGCTCATTAGCATGCTTGGAAGGTTTGAAGGATAGTGTGCACTCAGAGGAATTAAAAAAAAAAATCAATCTTGTGGAAAGGCCTGGCAATTAGGCAGCTCAAGTGAAGGGGATGGCTGAGCCATTATAAGCACTGTCAGGCCTAGTAATGCATGTCGTAACACACACACAGGTTCACAGCCTCTTCCAGTGTACCTGTGGCCCAGGCAGCCTTGGGGTTCTCCCTCTTGGGGAGTCAAGAGTGGGTCACATCCTCCATTTTTGGCCTTGTTGGCTTTAATACTTGGAGAAAAAAAAAAAAAAAAAACCTCACATGAAATTGCCCATTTCACTTGGATGGAATACAAATTCACTTCTCCATATGCCCAGATATATGACATAGCACATTATCTACAAAATTAAGAATGAATGGGGCAGGGCAAGGTGGCTCATGCCTGTAATCCCAGCACTTTGGGAGGCCAATGCGGGTGGATCACTTTGAGGTCAGAAGTCCAGACCAGCCTGGCCAACATGGCAAACACTGTCTATACTAAAAATACAAAAATTACCCAGCTGTGGTGGTGCACACCTGTAGTCCCAGCTACAAGGGAGGCTGAGGCAGGAGAATTGCTTGAACCCCGGAGGAAGAGATTGCAGTGAGCCCAGATCGCGCCACTGCTCTCCAGCCTGGGTGACAGAGCAAGACTCCGTCTCAAAAAAAAAAAGAATGGCCAATTTTTCCCACTTATCTTCAGTCCTAAATGCAGCAAATGCTGCTGGTGCCATATCCCTCTCCCCTTGGCACTAGCCATTCTGTACACACAGACAGTCTTACTGCAAGTATCTGTGACTCTTTCTGAGGACATCCTCAAGCCACATCAGCATGGGTGGCCCCTGTATGTGGCAACCAGAAGTATCAGGAAATAACGTTCCCAGCACTGTCCTAAGTCAATGAGAAAGAAGTGGATGAATAAATACCCCAGCTTCCTTGCCTCTAGGGCAGAACAATCTGAGGCTTCTTCTGTACTGTCTTCCAAGGTCCTCAGCATGGACCAGTTTTCCGGAGCTGCTTGTGCTCAGGAATACGTCTTCCATTGTTTCCCCATCCCTGACTCAGCTCCCCTTTCTGTCACCAATGCTTCTAAGGATTAGCACCCAAAGAAACTACTCCCACTCAAATCCTCTCCTCCGGGAATGCTTTTGGGGAAACCCAAGTGAAGGCACGGGCAATTCACCAGCTGAAGATCGAGTCCATCCCATGGCAGGGCGGGCAGATGTACCTCTCTAATAAGTGAGATGCACCCTGGGATATCAGCTGGGGGAGGGGCAGAATTTAGATCACACTCATGGATCAGAAAAACAGGCTATGGAGTAGTTCTCCCCAAAAAAGCATTATTGATCTTGTCCAATAAAACAAACACAAACAAACAAACTGGGAGATTTCAAGGCAACAAAGTTAATGGAAAACAATGTCCCATAGGTTACCTAAGATTGAACGATAACACTGCAAATCCATCATTAGGATCTCAGCTAAGGTCTACAGTTTAGTCTCATCATTGAAAATGTATTGCCATCACCTGGAACAATTGTTCTCATCCTTATCAGGTGCAAATCACCTTGTAGAAATGAATGGTTTCATGTCTCTCTACCATCCTGAACTGCAATCCATAGACAATGTAATGATCCACCACATAATTTTTTAATCTGTAAGTGCCCTAACTCAACACATGGAGAAATAAAAGGTGAATAATTATGTAAATGAATGTCATGTACTGGTGCATCTACATGAACACCCCCAGGCGGGAGCTCACTGGACGACGACACGAAGAATCCTGACGCTTGCCACAACCTGTGGGTTCTCCGGGCATGCAAGCATTGCCACTTCGGGCTCATTCCGCAGCCCAGTGGCTGACGGATACCGGCAGCAGCGCTGCCATTGATGGCAAGAGATTCCAAAAATGCCAACAATTGTTGAAGTTTCCACCAAGACCAGTGACAACTTCCCATGATTTCCCGACAGTGTCATTCCTGTGGAAACTGATGTCTATGAAAGATGTACAAAAGATATGTCTATACCGTCGTTGGTGGCTTGTGCTTTTGCATGTATGCTTTCAAGGCGAAATGGCAAGTGGTCAAGTGCAAGTGCTGGCAGCAGACCCGGAAGTGCAGCGACTGAGCCTCGCATCCGTGAGGCCAGAGAAGCAGGAAGCGTCTGGAATCTGCGGTGTGCTGCAAGTGCGCATGCGCATAGACGAGGCCAGGAGTTGACCCCGGCCCTCACGTTCACTTCCGGTGCAGCACTCAGAGACGCGAAGCCCAAGCCACAACACCGACCCCTCAGGTATTGATGTTTTCAGAAACCCTCAAACAGATTGGGTAGTGCTTCCCGGGGGGCGGGTTTCTGGGCAGGTGCCCAGACGCGCCCAGGAGCTGACCCCGGCCCTCCCGCTCACTTCCATTCCAGCCCACG